CCCCCGAGGGGTCCCAGACTGTGAGAGGGCACAGGCCGGGCGGAGGGGCCCCCCTGAGTGCACAAATTTTTGTGCACCGGGTCTCTAGTATATATATATTTTTTAATTGATATCAGAGAGAAAGAGAGAAATAGAAACATTAATGATGGGAGAGAATCATTGATCGGCTGCCTCCTGCATGTACCCTGCTGGGGATGGAGCCCATAACCTAGGCATGTGCCTTTGACCAGAATACAACCCAGGACTCTTCAGTCTGCAGGCCAATGCTCTATCCACTGAGCTTAACCAGCTAGGGCTTGTCTGTTTGATTTGGGTGGCTAGTCAGTGGGGGCCTCCCTGGGAAGGTGGCTTGAGGAAAGCATTGAGGGACGAGGCATTATCCCTGAGGATGTCGGAAGGAAGTCCTTTTCAGCAGTGGCACCTCCAGTGGGAATGGCCTGGGGCAGGAGTGTGTCTGTCTGGTTTAAGAGCAAGGAGGCCAGTGTGGGAATGGAGCAGAGACTAATGGAAATGAGATAAAGGCAAGGCCAGACCTCTTGGGCCTGGAGGATGGAAGCAGGGCAGGGACTGTGCTCTGAATGAGGAAAGAGCCACAGGAGAGTTTAGAGCAGGAGAGGCCCGGCCTGATACCCCCTTTAAAGGATCACTGTGGCTGCTGCTCTGAGAACAGTGGGAGGTTAGGGGGCAGTGGGGAGGTTGGGAGGGGCTGCAGGCTGGAGAGGCTTCCAGGGGCTGAGCAATGGAAAGAGATGGGACCCCAGAATCCTCTGGCCACACGCTGCAGGGGGTGCCAGGAAAGCTGCTGGGCCATGGGCAGCCTGGGTCTTCTCACTAAGGTCCTTGTTGCCCAGCGAGGTGCGCAGCCCACACCGAGGTTCAACGGCTGGTCCTCCGGGCCCTCGAGGCCTGTCCTGTCCCAGGAGAGGAAGGGACCACTGAAGGCCAGGATGGCCGGCTGCTCGGGGCTGGGCTCAGACTTGGCAGCAGCACTGGCCCAGTTAGTGGGACCCTGGAAACCCCAGGACGTTGGGACCAGGGCTCATCCCTACAGGGGCAGCCCAGCCCTTTGCTGTCTGTGACCCGGAAGACCCCTTCCAAACACCAGCAGGGGTCCCCATGGCACACCCTCCCCTGCTGCTCTTCTCCCTGAAACCTCTACCCCTCTGCGTGCTGACTCCCCCCCATCCTGACCTCCTCAGGGGCATCCTTGCCTTCCCAGGCCTGACACCCCAGCCCCACCCCCATCCCAAGCTCTGAGACAGCGGCACTAGTTCCCAGGAGGAAGGTGCTCTAGCTCCAGAGACAGCAGCGGGAACAGGGGGCAGGTTCTTGGGTGTCCAAGGTCCCATCCGGGAGACTAAGGACTCCTGGTTTGCTTGTGGGGTGCAGCTGGACCTGGGAGCCAGCGGTTATGGCCCAGGAGACCTCGCTCTTTCCTGAGGCAGCGTCCACGGTGACTCAATGGGGAGGAAGAATCGACATCAGTGTGCATTTGGAGAAACACTTTGCACCCCGAATTAGACATAGGACAGGCCCCCCTCCTGCGTTCAAAGCCCTGTTCTGGTACTGGGAGCAGAGAGGACCCTGGGAGGTCCTGGCTGAGCAGCAGAAAGGGGAGCGGTCTCTTCTGTTCTCAGCCCTGTGGCCACACGGGGGCGCCGCCGCGCTGCTCCGGAGGCTGCCTGCGCCCTGGCAGGGGCTGTGCTGTGAGTGGGTCAGAGGGGGCTGACTGGAAGGCGGGGCATCCGCGGGGAGGGCGGGGAGTGAAGAAGCTTTGGCGAGTCTTGGGCTCCACAGTGTCAAGGTCATGACAGGACAGGGATTGACCAAGAAGAGTGCTCAGGAGCCATCTGAGGTTTCCATCTCCTAATTGCCACCCCTCTCTCCAATCCCTTGAGGACAACTCCATGGAAACCTGAAAAGTAGACACATTTTCTTCTATTGCCTATTTCTGTTTTGTGATTTTTTTTCAAAGTCAGTTTTCAAAATAAAGTCATCTCTTATTTGGGAACAACATCTCAATGTCTACACTATCTTCCACAGTGAGGAGTTGCACATTGGGACAATTGGGGCTAAAGCAAGGGTCTCCAGGGCCTTCTGTCCCCTAGAAGGATAGCAGAGGGGCCAGAGGGAAGCAGCCCTGATTCCGGGTACAGGATGGTGCTAGCAGCCAGGGGAAGGAAGGCCTACTCTTGCACTAATTTTCCTGCATCGGGCCTCTAGTTTTATCATACGTTGTAATGCAATATCAGTAAACCATTCATCACAGATGTGCCTGTTTCCCAGGCCTAAGTCCTCTCTGAGGTACATCAACTCCAACAATCCTTGGAGCCCATTGGGATCCGAGCTGATTATCCAGCCATCTATTCACTGTCCCGCACCCTTCATGTCCCCTCCTCCCTCCTCACTTTCTTAAATTTCATGATTCACCCTCCCTTGGCTCTCCCTTGCTGTGTCACTCTTGCTTGTGAATTCTACCTCTGCCTACCGTGCACCTGGCCCCATGCAGCTACAGGAGGCTGGGGAACAATACAGACATGCTGACACTGTCACGTTAAGGTCATGACTCAGACCACAAAGGCATCCACTCCACTGCCCACAATCATTCTGTCTGTGCACGGCTCCCTCAGTCCCCCATCCTCTGTTCAAACAGCCGCCCTCCTTCCCCATCTGTTACTGCTAGTGTCCTGTTGCCTGCTTCACTGAGAACACTGAACACATTAGAGGACAATTACAGCTTTCCAACACCATCTGCTTCAAAACCTTTACCACAGGCCAGCTGTCCACCCGACCTCATCCCTGCTTTAGTGTTATTGTTTGGAGCCACTAAAGTGTGGGGTAGTTTGTTGCTCGGCAGTGGATAAGTAATAAAGCTCTCTGCAGTTTCTCTTAGTCTGCACCTTGGTTTCCTTGCACTTGGCAAATGTTACCTGCACTCGCTGTTTCCAATTCTCCTCTATTTTCTCCTATATTTTCTGTCTTTTCTCCCTTCTCCCATCTGTCTTTCCTTCTCTCCTTCCTTTGTGCTTATCATCAGATCTCCCAATCGTATAAAATAATGCTCTGTGGTCATGCCGAGGGAAGCATTACATGGGTGTATATGTTAAAAGTATAAATACAAGGGCTATGGAATAAAAGTAAAGGAACTAATTTTAGTCTGAAAAGAAAATGTCTCTGTGATTCTGCAATGCAAGGAACCAAAGAACTGACTTTCAACTCGTAATGCTTCTACTTAATCTGTGTTTGGTTTATTTTCAGAGCAACTATATCAGTAACATGAAGTCTTCCACATCCTGGTAAACGTTTAAACTGGCACAGGCACTTTTAAATCACATGAGCATCATCGAGTTTGGTTAAAGTACAGGCCCCACAGGGCCCAGCATTCCCACCTCTGACCACCCCCTCTGGGGAATTTGTCTTGTGCTCCAGGAGACATGTACCCGAATGTTTAGAGCAAAAACTGGAACAACCACATATACCTCAATAGGAATATAGCAAGATTTCAGGATAATCATAACATGTAAGATTCAGCACTCAACATGGAAGGACAGCCTCACAGGTGAGAGATGACCCTTAGGTAACACTGAGTATACGAGGGTCATGCAGGACCAGTCCTCTGTGCAGGCAAATGTAAAACTGGCAAAACTAAGATTCGGGTTGGACATATGTATATACTTATTGAAAATCTTTAGAGTATCTCAAGGGTATAAGAAGCACAGGAATTAGTGAGAGGTTACATCTGGGGGACAGGACTGTGTCCACTGATGGTTGCTGGCACCAATTCGACATGAACAGGAATGCCCCATTTGAGATGCCCAGTCTTAAAACTATTTGATCTAGCTACTGTATGTTCTCAACTTTGTTTCCACTTACTGTAGGGAATATTATGATTGATGGCATTACTAAGAAAATCTGACAAATATTGTTGTAACTCCTTCCTCTATCTCAAAGTTTTCCAAAAGTGAAATTTAGAGCATTGAAGAAACTAATCAATTAAAGCAAGCAATATTTTATTTGGTGGAATGGCTGGGGAAGGTGGACACCAGTCCCGAGTCACACATACTGTGTGGGAAGGAGAATTGAGGAGCTTTGTAACTCTGGCTCCAGGGCTATTTAGACACTTTGCATATGAAGCCCTGAAATCACTCATTTCACAGATGAGCTTCCTGATGCTCAGGCTTCCCAGGTTGTGTTCCCCACTGCAGTTGACTTATCTTTGAGAATCTCTATCCAATATGTTCAGGTAAGATTCCTTCAGGATTAAAGAGAAAGCCCTCCTCTCCCTTTCACAGGGTGAGCTCACTCTCTGGCATCAAGTCCCCAGGGAGAGGTTTTTTTTCTAGAAGTGTCTATTAGGTTTGATTGAGCAATTGAATTATTACCCCTCCCCCAGGAACTGACTTTTCAGGCCATTTCACTGTGGACATTCCCTTTTGCTGAGACCACAGTTTACTTACTGAGACCACATTCTGTTATCTCTCCCCTCCAGACCTGCACAGAAAATTCTCCGCCCACAAAAGCCTGCCATAAGTCCTTTAAAAACAGCTGACTCCTGTCACTGGGTGCTGGAGCCATCTGGGGCTCAGCCACCTGGTGTGCGGATGATTGAATAAATTTGTAATCCCTCACCATTCTGGCCTCGTGCGTCCCTCCTTCAGCGACCTAACAGTGTCCAGGGTCAGAGATAATGGGTAGGAGGCAGAGTGCATTCCAGGGAGAGGGGTTCCAGGAGGAGAAGGGGAGGAAAGGGCTGGTCCCAGCCTGGGGAGTCTCCCTGGTTCTCACACAGCCCCTGGGCAGGACTGAGGGAGAGGGTGTGACAGAGCTCTCCGTGCAGGGGGAGGGGTCAGGGCAAGGTCCCAGGTCCCAGAAGCCAATCAGCGTCTCCGCTGCTCCTGGTCCAATGCTTCCAGGGCCTTGTCGGGACTCAGAGGGCAGAGCCAATCAGTGTCACCTCCCTCCCAGTTAGAAGTCTCTGCAAACTCACCGGGATTCAGACTCCCCAGACCAGTAGGATGCTGCTCACGGGGCCCCCAACCCTCCTCCTGCTGCTCTGGGGGGGTTTGGCCCTGACCCAGACCTGGGCGGGTGAGTGCGGGGTCGGGAGGGAACGGCTTCTGAGTGGAGGAGGGAGGGGACCCGGCGGGGGCGCAGGACCCCGAATTGGCGCGTCTCCACACCTCCCCCGCCCCCCCCCCGCCCAGACCCCCAAAGCCGGACCCCATCCTGTCCTTCAGACCTCGGCCCCGAACGGCGCTGGGAGGATGGTCGGGGGTGTCAGCCCCTCCCTCCGGCCCGCAGGCCCCCACTCCCTGAGACATTTCCTCACCGCTGAGTCCCGGCCCGGACATCGCAAGCCCCGCTTCGTGGTCGTCGGCTACGTGGACGACACGCAGTTCGTGCGGTTCGACAGCGACTCCGCGAGCCCGAGGATGGAGCCGCGGGCGCCGTGGATGGAGCAGGAGGAGCCGGGCTACTGGGACCTGAACACGCGCAACGCCGAGGTCGCCGCACAGAGTTTCCGACTGAACCTGGACATCCTGCGCGGCTACTACAACCAGAGCCGGGACGGTGAGCCCCGGGGCCCGGGGCCTGGGACCCGGTCATGACCCCCATCCCCACGGCCGAACCGGGGTCGCCCTGAGCGTCCGGGTCCGAGCTTCACCCTGAGGCCGCGTGACCCTCGTGGTCCCCACCCGGGAGGGCCTGGTTACACTTCCAGTTTCGGCTTCATCCTGAGGGTTGGATGGAGTCCGGGCTGGGTGGGCGGACCTGACCTCGAGGGGGGCGGGTCAGGGTCTCACACCTTCCAGTTGATGTTTGGCTGCGAAATGGGACCCGACGGCCGCCTCCTCCGCGGTTATGACCAGTCCGCCTACGACGGCACCGACTACCTCGCCCTGAACGAGGACCTGCGCTCCTGGACCGCGGCCGACACCGCAGCTCAGATCACCCGGCGCAAGTGGGAGGCAGAAGGTGTAGCGGAGGAAAGGAGACACTACCTGCAGGGGGAGTGCCTGGAGTGGCTCAGCAGATACCTGGCGATGGGGAAGGAGGCGCTGCAGCGCGCAGGTACCAGGGGCCTGGGGCCTCCCCACTTTCCCCTGGGGCTGCGGGTCCTGCAAGGAGAAGAGAATGGGATCAGAGGCAGAACACCCCTCCTTTGGGCCAGGGAATTTTCTTTCAGATCCAGTTCCCGAAAGTGACGCCCACCCTTCTCTCAGGGACGCCTAGGGGTGCAGTCTCTCAAGGACAATTAGAGGGGAGACCAGCCTGAAGGAACTGAGCAGCGGTTCCCATTGACCCTGCAGTGGCTCTGGGACCCATGGGGGACTTGCTCTCTCAGGCCCTGCTCCCTGCCCCTCCCCCAGTGTATCTGCGGTCTGACACCGGCTTTTCTGAGTCCTTTGGCCTCCACCCAGGACAGGATCAGAACTCCCTTTCTTCCCTGAGACCTGCCCTGGAGCCCTGGGCTGTGTCACTCTGACTAGAACTTTCTAAAGAGGAGAGGTCATCCCCAGGTGCTCTGTCCAGGCTGGTGGTGCTGTGTGCTCCCTCGCCCACCCCAGGTGCCCTGTCCACGCTCAGGTGGTCACATGAGGGCTGCTGGAGGGTCCCCTGACAGTGCCAAGTCCCTGATTTCCTCCCCCTTCTCCTCAGACCCTCCAAAGACACACGTGGCCCACCACCCCATCTCTGACCGTGAGGTCACCCTGAGGTGCTGGGCCCTGGGCTTCTACCCTGCGGACATCAGCCTGAGCTGGCAGCGTGATGGGGAGGACCAGACCCAGGACATGGAGCTGGTGGAGACCAGGCCTGCGGGGGATGGGACCTTCCAGAAGTGGGCGGCCCTGGTGGTGCCCCGTGGAGAGGAGCAGAGATACACGTGCCATGTGCATCACGAGGGGCTGCCCGAGCCCCTGACCCTGAGATGGGGTGAGGAGGGGCGTGGGCACAGAGCCTCTTCTCAGGGAGAAGGGGCCTGTGGAGGACTTCATTGGGGTCGGGGCGGAGGCCTGGGGGCCAGGGCTCTCACCTCCCCTTCCCTTCCCAGAGCCGCCTTCTTGGGCCACCATCCCCGCTGTGGGCCTGGTTGTGGGCCTGGTCAATCTTGGAGCTGTGCTCACTGGAGCTGGAGCTGGAGCTGTGATGATGTGGAGGAGGAAGCGCTCAGGTAGGGAAGGGGTGGGGCCTGAGTGTCTTGTCTCACTGGGGGGTGCAAGCCCAGGTAGACGTGTGTTCTGTTTCATTAATGGCAAGTACCATCCCCACACGTGTGGTTGCCCAGTGTGGGGCCCTGTTTGCTGACACTCACTCTTTAGTAAGACACGTGTGGAAATGAGGGACAGATTCATCACCTTGATGGTTCTAGAGATGGGGCCTGGTTCCCAGCACTCCCAGGTCAGGGCGGAAGGTCCCTGCTGAGGACAGACCTCTGGGAGGGTGGTTGGTCAGTCCCCACATGTGTAGTTTCCTCGGGTTTCCTGATCCTGCCCTGGGTTTCTAGTCACAGATCTAGAAACTTCTCTGGGCTCTAGGACTAGGAATTCCTTTAGGTCATAGTGGTTCTCAACCTTCCTAATGCCACGACCCTTTAATACCGTTCCTCATGTTGTGGTGACCCCCAACCATAAAATTATTTTCGTTGCTACTTCATAACTGTAATTTTGCTACTGTTATGAATCGTAATGTAAATATCTGATATGCAGGATGTATTTAGGCCACCCCTGTAAAAGGGTCCTTCAACCCCCAAAGAGGTCATGACCTACAAGTTGAGAACCGCTGCTTTAGGAACTCATGGCCCTGCCTCCTCCCTGTCTTCTCACAGGATGTTTTCTTCCCACAGGTGGACAAGGAGGGAGCTATGCTTAGGCTGCCAGTGAGTATGGAGGGGTGATCTCTGAGACCGTATGACAGTGCATAGGAGAGCCCACAGGGGACCTCACCCCCATAGTTACTCCTTTAGTCCCCTCTCCTGGGGGCTCTGACCATGTCCTGTTTTGTTCTACCTCAGGCAGCTACAATACCCAGAGCTCTGATCAATCTCTCTTGGCTTTTAAAGGTAAAACCCCGATGTAATGAGGGGACAGATCTGGGTGATGGGGATTCTTTGGGACATAGTGAGCCTGCATGGGTTGTTGAGAATGTCACCACTTACAGCCACAAAGCTGAATATTTCATGATCATTTTCTTCCACAGCGTGAGGCACGTGCCTTGTGGGGGAACCAGTGATGGGAGATTTGTTCGAGCTCCTACTTTGTGATTCAAGAACCTCTGATTTCCTTCTGCAAATGACATTTGAATGTATGTGTTCCCATCAGCATAACGTGAGGAGGTCGGAGGCTGGCCCACACCTGCCCACCACTCGCCCTTCTCACAGTTTCCTGTCCATCAGAGCCCGGCTGGGCCCTCCCCATCCCTGTCTTTACTTTGTGATGCTCAGTAGGGAACTGAGTTATGCGAGATTTGTCCACACTCCCACTTTGTGACTCAAGTGAAAGGTTAGCATGGTGATACGTGGGCAGGCTACATAGCCATCTGGAATGAAAATTTTTTAAAAAAATTGAATTTATTTAAGGAAAGAGGGTGGGGGATGGGATACCCAAAGGGAAGGGCTGCACAGCACCGAGCCAAGTGGAGGTTGGGTGGATGATGGCAACACCCAAGATGTGGAGTTTCATCCTTATATGCAGTCACTGGCAGGAAACTCTGGTCAGTGGGTCTGGGGGCTGAATAGGTGGCTTGGAATGGGGATAGAATGCAGGTGTGGGATCAGGTGCCTTTTGGAAAATTTCAGTTGTTTACATGGTCTAACTCCTGGTGTCTAGCAAGTTTTTCCTGCTCTTGGAAGACACTATGGAAGACAGTATGGAATTTCCTCAAAAAACTAAAAATGGAACTCCCATTTGACCCAGTGATCCTACTTCTAGGAATATATCCCAAGAAAACAGAAACACCAATCAGAAAGGATATATGCACTCCTATGTTCCTAGCAGCACAATTCACCATAGCTAAGATCTGGAAACAGCCAAAGTGCCCATCTGTAGATGAATGGATTAGAAAACTGTGGTACATCTACACGATGGAATACTATGCTGCTATAAAAAAGAAGGAATTCTTACCATTTGCAACAGCATGGATGGAACTGGAGAGCATTATGCTAAGTGAAATAAGCCAGTCAATGAAGGAAAAATACCACATGATGTCACTCATTTCTGGATAATAAAGACCATTATAAACTTATGAACAAAAATAGATACAGAGTCAGAGCTGCATCGAAAAGACTGTCAAACTACAGCGGGAAGGCCAGGGAGGGTTGGGGGGTGGGAGGCGGGGGATAAGAGATCAACCGAAGGATTTGTATGCATGCATATAAGCATAACCAATGGACATAAGACACTGGGATGTAGGGGAGGCCGGGGGATTGTTAAGGGCAGGGAAAAAATGAGACATATGTAATATTCTTTGTAATACTTTAAGCAATAAAACAATTGGAAAAAAAATAACAAAAAACAAATAAAAAAGTTTTTCCTGCTCTTGCTCCCCTGTGGCGGGAAGCGTACAAATGGCCATTAAGGATTATATTGTCTGATAGCCCAAACATCAAGAATCTCTGACTTAAAAAAAATAAATTCAGATTGGTGATTCTCAAAAACATTTAATTACTATCTGGCAATAATACGCTAGGTAAGTAGTTTTCCAGGTTATAACTTTCTGTAGAATATGTTCATTACATTCCTTCATTTGCCTGTAAGTTAACATGGTTCCAAAATTGAAAGGCCCGAGTTCCCAAATGAATGTGAAAGTGTTAAAATATGTGTGATTATGCACACATTTTATTTTCTGCACTGCTGTTTTGTTTTAAATATTTCATTTAAAAATTTTTATTAACATTACTTGCATGTTCAATGCTCTTGTGATGTATTAATTAAAATTATTTTCAATATAAAAAATAAAGAAAGATGCCCTAACCGGTTTTGCTCAGTGGATAGAGCATCGGCCTGCGGACTCAAGGGTCCTGGGTTCGATTCCGGTCAAGGGCATGTACCTTGGTTGCAGGCACATCCCCAGTGGGGGTTGTGCAAGAGGCAGCTGATCGATGTTTCTCTCTCATCGATGTTTCTAACTCTCTATCCCTCTCCCTTCCTCTCTGTAAAAAATCAATAAAATATATTAAAGTAAAAAGAAAGAGCAAGCTCTGATTTCTTTCTGCAAAGGGCATCTGAATGTGTGTGCCTTCCTATCAGCATAACGTGAGGAGGTGGGAGGCTCGCCTCCCTCCCCCCATTTTTCCTGTCCAGCACAGCCAGGGCTGGGCCCTCCCCATCCCTGTCTGTACTTCGTGGTGGCAACTTCTTACTGCCTGATTGAAATAAGACTCTGGATGTGAATTTGTTTTCCCGTTTCTTGCCATGAAGGGCTGATGGGTTAAGAAGAGGAGAAGATTCTAAAATGTGAGAGGGAATAATTGTCATCACTGAGAACTTTCTAGAACCCATGTGTTTTCTGTGCTGAGTCTGTTGCAGGTGGGAACAGGAGAGGCTGTGAGCACCGACTGTGGTCAGGGGCTGTGTCCAGTTCCTGGTCAGTGCATCCTGTGTCCAGTGGTCTCTCCTCAGCTGGGTCATCTCTCTGCTCCTTTTTCGAAAAATATATTTTTATTGATTTCAAAGAGGAAGGGAGAAGAGAGAAATAGAAACATCCAGTGATGAGAAAATCATTGATCAGCTGCCTCCTGTACTTATTGACTCCACAGTTGATTCCAGGTGGCATACTGCCACAAACCCAAAGTAAGATACAGAATTACTTCAAAATAAACAGAAGGCCCTGGGCAGTGTGGCTCAGTTGGCTAGGCTTGGGCCCCTGCACTAAGATGTCCCAGGTTCAATGAAACTGGTCAGAACACATGCCTGGGTTTCAGGCTTGATTCTCAGTAGGGGCTGTGGAGGAGGCAGCCTATCCATGTATCTCTTTCTCTCATCCATGTTCCTTTACGTCCCTTCCTCTCTCTAAGAGAAAAAAAAAATCAGTAAAAACATGCTGTATAATAAAAGCATATGCAAATTGAATGAACAGCAGAACGATGGTCACTATGATGTGCACTGACCATCAGGGGGCAGATGCTCAATGCAGGAGCTGCCCCTTGGAGGTCAGTGCGCTCCCACAGAGGGAGCTCCGCTCAGCCAGAAGCCAGGTTCATGGCTGGCCAGCCCAGTAGTGGTGGCAGGAAGTAAGGAGCGAGGGGTCCCGGACTGCGAGAGCCCTGGACTGTGAGAGAGATGTCTGACTGCTGGATTAAACTGGCAGGTGGATATCCCCTGAGGGGTCCCAGACTGTGAGAGGGTGCAGGCTGGGCTGAGGGACACCCCGCTCCCTCCCCAGTGCATGAATTTTGTGCACTGGGCCTGTAGTCCTATATAATAAAAGGGTAATATGCTAATTAGAGTGGAAGTCATTCTGGACCGTCATCCTTCCGGATCTTCCAGCTCCTCTGAGCAGGCGTCTGCCGCAGGATCCAGTAAACCTCTGAGTCTGTGAGGGAGGGGCAAGATGGTTGGAGGGACCCCAGCCCAAGTGGCCACCTGAGGCTGCGAGGAAGGGAGCCACCCATGGTTAGGGGCAATCAGGAAGGCTGGCAGAGTGGTTAGGGGCAATCAGGCAGGCAGGCCAGTGGTTAGGACCAGAGGTCCCGGATTGCGAGAAGGATGTCCAACTGCGGGATCGGGCCTAATCTGACAGTTGGACATACCCCAAGAAGTCCCGGATTTCAAGAGGGCACAGGCCAGGCTGAGGGACACCCCTCCACCCCCATGCATGAATTTTGTGCACCGGGCCTCTAGTGAAAAAATAAAAATAAGCAGCAAGGAAAATCTGCAGTTTAAAATGTTAAGTCCTCCTCCTCCCCTGTTGCTCCGGATGGGTGTGGGGCACTGTGGCTGCTGCTTCCTGGAGCCATTTGCTGAGGTGCCATTGGGAGGAGGAGCGTCGAGGACACCCAGGGGATGATTGAGGAGATTGGGGTGTGAAGGGGTTTCCCCCTGCACCATGAGCTGGGCAACCAGACTTTGAGACCAAGTTGGCAGCTTAGAAAAGCACACATAATGGGCAATTGATATTCTTGAGACATACAGTACATTAAACTTGCAAAGGAAAGAACAGAGATTGAGTCAGGATTCAAAGTAACTCAGGAATCTTTTGAAGAAATCTCTACCTGAGAAGAACTGGCAGGAGGAGGAAGGATTCAGGTGCAGGGCATGTAAAGCCTTCCTTTCCACCCTGGAGGCCATGGACGATTTAGCTGGGAGCAACTTGAACCCAGGAGGAGATGGTTTGAGTGGGATTGCAAAGAGGCTGACCCAGCACAGCAGTTCTCAGAGAGTGATTTTCAACGCATGTGCCATCACAATTTTTATTGATTTACTTATTTTTTACATTTTAAATATACTTTTATTCATTTCAGAGAGGGAGAGGGAGAGGGAGACGGAGAGCTAGAAACAACAATGATGAAAGAGAATCGTTGATTGGCTGCTTGCTGCACGCCCCACACTGGGAATTGAGCCCACAACCCAGGCATGTTGCCTGACTGTGATAGAACTGTGACCTCCTGGTTCATAAGTTGATGCTCAACCACTGAGCCACCGTGGCCAGGCAAAAGTTCAGATAATTTTATTTTATTTTTTTAAATGTACTTTATTGATTTTTTACAGAGAGGAAGGGAGAGGAAGAGAGATAGAGAGTTAGAAACATCTATGAGAGAGAAACATTGATTCAGCTGCCTCCTGCATACCCCTACTGGGGATGTGCCCGCAACCAAGGTATGTGCCCTTGACCAGAATCGAACTTGGGACCCTTCAGTCCACTGGCCGATGCTCTATCCACTGAGCCAAACCGGTCAGGGCAAAAGTTCAGATAATTGTAAAGTTGTTTTCCTGGCCTCCTGTCTTCTCAGAAAGGAAGAGCTTAAATAATTTTTAAAAACCAAAAAAAAAAAAAAAATGTTTTTAATTCTCCCATTTTTATTTAACTGTATAAAAATATTGGCTTTAATATAAAATTACATGATAGAAGAGCCCATTTTTAAGGGCATTAAATTTTTTTCTTGTGGGAAAATAAAGTGTCAATACATCAGTGCTTAAAAAAAAGTGAGATAGAAAATTAGGGCTCTTTCTAGAGAAGTCTCCCAATTGTCCAATTAGAATTATTTCTTCTAAGATATCCAACTGAAATACAGGATGGCTCTGTCCTACAGCCATCTGAAATACAACCTCTCTTAATATACATATTGAAAATATATGTCTTGACCAATTTGGAGGGAAAGTGAAATCTTGATTGTAAAATTCCTCAAATTATCATTTTTTCTCCCAAATTGGATTCGATAAGAACGTAAGGCTTCAGTATCTCTCAGGTTACTGTTTACATGAATGCTCCCTTTTGGGACCAGGCTGGAGGGCTGGCATTCCATCGGAAGGGAGTGAGGCACCTTTTGCCACCGCAAGGAGTTAATAAATAAGGAACAACACTTGCCACCGGAAGAATTCTTTAACATTCGAA